GTAGGGGTACTCGCAATTTTGCACACCCCCTGCCCCCCCCCCCCCCCCCCCCCCCCCCCCCCCCCCCCCCCCCCCCCCCCCCCCCCCCCCCCCCCCCTTCCCTTTTTTTTTTTTTTTTTTTTTTTTTTTTTTTTTTTTTTTTTTTTTTTTTTTAATCCGTTGGCATTAGACCAATGGTTGTTTCAGTTTCCATGCCTCACGAGGGTGCACCCATTAAACCACCACTTCCCTCGCCATCCTAAATTCGGCCTTCATGGCCTTACAGACCGGGTTCTTAGGGGGGGTGGCGACTAGCAGGTGCGTGGGAGCCCAATTCCGCAATTTTCAAGCGCCAACTTTGGTGATTTTTCACGCTAATAAGAATTAACAAAAAAATATGAAATATTGAGATCTTGTAAATTAGATTTTGATCTCTCACATAAAAAATCAGAAAATAAATAAATAGAAACAATTGGACCGTGAAATAAATGTCGTGTAGATTCCTAATATTGCCCATTTTTTGCCACTCTACCATGTGAAGGCCACAGGGAAACGTACCCCAACTTCTACGTTTTTTTTGCGCTGGAAAAATGATTCATAAAATCTTAAATTTGCAGGACTTGTGAATTTGGTTGTGTTTTTGCCAGGAAAAAAAAATAAAAATCAGTTAGATCATGAAATAAATGTCGCGCCAATTTATCTCATTTTCCATTTGTGTCGCTCTACCACGTGTGGGTCAACGAAAAAAGTACCTCAACTTCAATGATTTTTCACGATTAAAAGAATGTGTCAACAAATCTACAAATTTGAGGGTCAGTAGATTTGGTTGCGTTTTTTAAAAAAATATATATTAATAAGAATAGAAAAGATCATTTACGCTACGAGATAAATCGCAGCGCCAATTCGATGCATTCTCAATTTTTGTCTCCCTAATGTGCTACCGGTAGCCCTCTTGAACCTGTGCTATTTAGGTCGACGGGGGGAGTGGTGGTTAATTGTTGTAGTACAAACCTGAGTTCGAATGAAACTTCAAAAAAAAATTGGACCATTCTCGATTTATGTGTGTCATCCTTGCGGCGGGGCCATGCTAATCTTGGCATTGTGTGACCAATCTTGGTCGTATGGTCTCGTCGATCCCACGAGCGAGATTATTCGCATCGCGAATTGACACCGGGCTGCTTCTCACAAAAAGAAGCTCGCCCAGTGACATGTTCGGATTTGATCCCAATATCTACCGAGTGACAATTTGATATGGTACCTACAGGCCACTCAACCAGCTGGTAGCCGACCCTTGGATTGGACGGGTATCCTACCTTATAGGGTAGGGCGCAAGTTCTTTATCGTCTGAGCACGGGCTAAAACCCTCAGCGCAGACAATTTTATGGCCGTTAAAAAAAAAAGTTTTGACTACGTTTCCTATGTCGCGACCGTGCATGCGATGTAACCATTTTTGAAAGCTATTTGGACCCTGAATCGCGAGACTGTCACAATTTGAAGTATAATAAATTTAGATTCAGTATTTCAAACGCTCATATGCCCCTGCGGCCTCTTCAAACGCATGGTCGGTTGGTCACACCACTAATTCTCGTCGTTGTGCTCACGTGCCACAGGCGTGAACTTTAGATAAAACGTTCCAGTGCCTCGGTCGTAGGTCTGGTATGAATAGACTTTGACAAATACCTCATTCTCATCAAGTCAAATCATTCAAATAAAATCTTACCGACAGTCCGACAGCGCCTGACATTTAAAATCTCGAGCAAATACCCTTGTAAGGGTTTCTGCTTTGACAATGATCCTGACTCTCGATTTTCAATGCCTCGCCAAGGGTCCTCGCGAGAACTCTTGAAAAACTCGCCCTTGCAGGCAGACACTCTAAATTGTCAATTAAGTGCGGATTCATGGGTTAGTCTGACAACTATAGAAAACTGTTTTATGTAGCGCCTTTCTAGAGTTGGTGGAGCACTGCTGTACTGTATACATTTTATACAGTACTTTCTGATAACTCTAGAAAAAAATTGCGTGCTAACTTTCTAGAGTTAGTGGGGTGACATTGTGCTCTAGATTTCTCTACATTATTGAGTAGTGGGGCAAGGCCCATTGTTCCATTTTTTTATTAATTTTTTCCCTTCCCTCCCTTCTTTTCTGAAACAGCGCGACGGCCTTGAGATATCACCAATGAACTGACCTGCGCCATGCAATTTAGAATGATTTTAGAGGTGGACCCCGGATGGGGAAAAACTTGGAAACACCACACCGCGGGAGGTTTTCGGAGACCTCACAGACGGTTGGAAAAGGCCTAGAAGTCTGTTTTTTTGCCAGGATTATGGTTTTTCCGATACCCCACCAGGCGGAAGAAGATGACCTGGAAAAACCAAAATGCGTTTCCAACTTTCCACGTGCGTTTCTGGCCGGAAAAGTGTCAGCACAGCGCTTTCCGCCGAAAATTTGTACCATTTCCGGAAGGGCAGGGGGAAGATCGGGGCGGCATGAAAAGTCTGGAAAAGTTCGAGCTGCGATGCTAGTCCAATGCATGTCTGGCAGGCATGGCCCCTTGGACCCCCCTGCCGCTCGTTCAGGTGGTCGGACACCCCACAGGTCCAGAGCACGATCACCGATGGACAAAGCCCCCGAAGTGGTCCATTTTCCTGGAAAAACTTTTCCGTTTGCTGGAAAAGTGGCTTTCCAGTGGGGTCCCGTTTTTTTCTTTTCCAAACTTTCCAAGGGTTGTGCCTCGGATTTCCAGGATCACCCACCTTTCCGAGCTTTTTCCTGTGGGGTCCACCTCTTAGTCTGTTCATCTGATATCTGATAGTGTGTGGATTCGAACTTTAGTCTGTATTTCAACAGTTCATGGGTGTACCATCTGAGCTAGGCCCGTTGGTCAAATATTTTGCAAACGAATCCAACTGATTTTCGCTGGATTTGAAATCGTGATCTGTTCATCAACAGTTACATGTGTTCACCACTGAGCCTGATGGGCAGTGTCCCAGCCGGGTTGTCATAGAGGGCACTCTTCACTCCGTCGCTCGGAGGACCAGTGGGAGGACCGAGTGGGGGCGTTCTAAACTGGTTGGCGACTGAGGGCATACTCACGGCGACTTCGATGGGCCGAGGGAAAGGGGTGCGGGTGCGCAGGCAAGAAGAGGGGTCTCAAGCATCACGTCACGGAACAAGCAAATGGAATTCGGGTACAGGTTTCCCTGTCCCAGGCGGACCTATCGGGGTCAAGCTTTCTCCTGGTACCAGGCGGACCTGTTGGGCTCAAGCTTTCTCAGGAGTGACAGACCGGTAGGACCGAGAGGGTAGGGCGGGCTGTGCGCTGGGGAGCTGTTGTTGGAGATGACGAATAACGGAGAGGTGAAAGCGAGGGACTCTCATGACCCCTCTCAATGACGACGCGTGGAGAACTACCGCTAGGAGAGCATCTCGGCGGTGGGGTTTGTCATCGTCTCGCCCAGAGGACCGATTGCCCTCTTGCCTCTCTCCCCCGGGGGGGGGGGACCCAAGGCGACGATTAGGTGATTGGTGATTTGATGACTGAAGAAGAGGTGGGTGTGGGTGATGTGTGTGTGTGTGTGTGTATGTGTGTGTATGTGTGTGGGGGGGGAGGGGGAGGGGACTGTATCAGAAAGAAAATATAGGGTAAAATATAAAAAATCTGATGGAACACGCGCTCGAAGGCTGTGTAGGTAGGCGGTTTTAGCGGCAACGCTTGGCCGCCGGCGACCGGTCGGTAGATGAACGTATGCCTCCTGGGTCGGTTGACGAACTCTGTTGCCAGTTGAAACTCTCCCACGTGCTTGCTACCGGTCGTTGGCTCGAGAAGCTTGTCAACGCGATGGTGTCCTTAATCTGATGGTGCGGTTAATTAAATCGGCCCCCTTTCAGATCAGGAGGGTGGTCGTCCGCTCGCATGCTGGATTGATTGGTAATCGACTGGAGGGCTAGGGAATGGAAGCGAAACGGACAGGGGAGTGAAGGAGGTGAGAGAGAGGGAGAGAGAAGGCAGGGAAAAGGGGGTGAGAGAGAGGGAGAAAAAAGGCAGGGGGGGAAGGGGGTGCGAGTGAGGGAGAGAAAAGGCGGGAGAAGGAGGTGAGAGACAGAGGGGAAGAAAAGGCGGGAGAAGTTGGTGAGAGAGAGGGAGAGAAAAGGCAGGGGGGGAAGGAGGTGCTTTCCAGCGACGTCCGGACAAGACGGGAGGGCAGCATCTTCAGGCTACTTGACAGATTGATTGGTACACAGTGGGGCGTACCGCTATGGTGAGCATGCATACGGTTGTCTCAACCTGATATCCCTTCTGTATGGAACCAGGGG